TTTAAAGGGATAGAAGTAACAAAATTTTTTTTAAACCGATATCATTTGACCGATAGCACAAAATTACCCGATACTCGATAATGATGGTTTAGTACACCTCAACATGTTGTCCATCCTGTGGTCCCACAGATGCAGTAGTGAGTAGCCCCTCGACATGCATGTGAGGGCTACCCGCGTAGCCCCTCAGGACGTTTTATCTCTGTTGGTGTCCCAGGAAATGAACGGGTAGATACCAAAGCGAAGGCTGCAATAACGATTCCGGTGGGCCCTACAGACTTGAATCATACAGGTTTGGTAGGTCGTCGGTGTGTGGTCTTCCTTCAGCAAGAATCTCATTTTGAGATTGGCGCAAACCCATAACCACACTTTAACTATTTGCCTAGGCCATGGGTGTTTTAGTTTCGTCATATTTTTATGATTACAAAGGTGCCTGTAGAGATTTTGGAAATTTTTTTACAAGTCTATACAATAACTAATGGGATTATTGAACTCGTGCTGATTACTGCAACTGAGTGTGAACGTATTAGTTATAGTATGTTTTTTTTTTTTTCTCGCTTTTCTTGTGTGTCGTATTTATTTTTTATTGCTAAAATTAATGATCTTCACCGCGAATGCGCAAATTCAAATTTTCAAAATTCCCTATTTATTGCCTCTGTTGCTTTTAGTTTTGCCGAGGTTATTTGTTAACACAGATAAGTGTCGTTTCTTCTGATGTTGCTGATTTAGCTGATGTTCATACTTATTTTGCAGTTTCAGCTTTAATAATTGTTCTGTTATGACGTCTTGTCTCGTTGCTCTTGTCTCTGCTGCTATTGCTGCCGTTATATAGTCTTGCTGTTGATAATGCTGTTGCTAATACTGCTATTGATATGCTTGGTGCTTTGCTATTACTGGTGTGCGATGCTATTACTGTGCTGATGCTATTGTTGCTACTGTTGAGACAGTTTATTTCTCCGAAAGAGAAAAGAGAGCAGCATAGCGAGTCCGACAAAAAATCTGTTCACGTTAAGTGCATCTGTAAATCATTGACACGTAGCAGATAAATCATTACAGGTATGTAGATTTACAATGCATAGTAATTACAGGTATTAGTTCTGTTCAGCCAATCTTCGCTGACAATATTTGATCAATGATTGCAGGATTTTTTAATCTTTATTTTTTAACGAAATTTGATATATTAGCAAGTGAAGTAAAGGAGGTGGAGGGGGCTAGAAGGAAGGGGTAATGAGGGGAGAGTAAGAGAGAAAGGGTGATAGTGGTGACTTGTCTGACCCAGGTGCGGATATCCGCTTCTCTCAGATTATATTGCTCCACAAGTGGGCGCTCTCTACCCCCATGTCTCTCCTCCCCCATCTCTCTCTTTTTAACTGTTTCTTTTTTTCTTTTTTCTTTCATTGTTTTTCTCTCTTTTTCTCTCGTATCTTTCCTTTCATTTTTTTAATTTACATTTTTTTTTATATGGCCAGGTTAAGAGTTCCCACCTTCATTTATAAGCTAAGAGCTGTTATCTGCTTCAGTTCATTTGAAAGCCTTTTTATTGGTATGAGATAAATAGGGATGAGAGTGAACTTGGAGCCATCTGTGGGCCAGGGATTTCATTTGGTGAACTGACTTTATTTTATCGATGTCATTAGATGTACCCACATGTTTCGATTTTTTTTTTCGATCATTCTAGGATAAATATCTCAGATGAAGTGACGTTCAT